AAAATCAGACATCCAAAAATATGAGGTTGAGTAATATCTACCCAATGATTGCTTTAGTGGTGCACTTGCTTGGCTAGTCCACTGAGGCATAGATTTATACAGATTGATCAAGGCTCATGCTCCCACTTGCAAAGTAACAGATTTTTGTGTCTCACATCTGTCAAGTTTCTACGCATTGACCTACACAATTTGGCAGACCCTACCTCTCGAAATGAAAGCCATGGCAGGGTAGTGAATACACGCTTACCTGCAAATCCATATCAAGTAGGATTATTTTTCTTTTAAAACTGACCTTAGCTCCCATGCTGACCCAGTCTAAAATGGCTACCAGGAAATGTCATGTGAAGTAAAGGTGACCAGTGTGATGTTGACTTTACTGCACATCGAGTGCCAACTGGTATTACAAAAATTAGTTTGGCATCATATGTCTGATCGGCCACTGGCATAAAAAGGGTCCTATACTAAATTTACCAGCAAAAATGCTTTCAGAAAAACTCTTGACATCACAGTAGAGTCCAATATTTTAGGGTGGTAAGACTGGGTTTCCCAGCTTTCTGATGCTTTTAACGACCCCAAAACATCTAGAACTGGCCCAAACCCAAACCCACCTACATCCCAGGAGAGACTGCAGCCTAGGTCCCATCACTGCATGCAGCCTAGGTCCCACGACTGCATGCAGCCGATCTACCACAACCTAAAATATTAGATTGTTCCGTGACCTATAGATTTTCTGTCTGGGGTAGGATATTAATAAAGCACCAAAAACAGTCCTTTTAATTTTTGTTCTTAAACCTACATGCAATAACAAATGATACTTCAAAATCCTCTGCACTGGCTTGAGCAAGTATGCACCCAGTGGTAAACCATGTCCCAGAGCCAGCTGCCTTTGTTTACAAAGTTCACTGAGCTCTGGATGCTGCATGAATCGGGTTAGTACTTCCACGGCTCTGTTGACAAATAAAATGAGTAAATTTAAGGTGACTGAATTTTAATATTGTCATATGATTAAACAGAGACTGACCTAGGAGATGAAACAAGAAATTACCAATCATCAGTTATGATTGCAGAACCAAGCTTCTTCTTCTTCTCTTCCACCTTTTACCTCATCGAAGTGTCGGGGTGGGGGGGGGGGGGGGGGGGGGGAGATGCAATGTTCATTGATGAGCTCTGTCAAGAGCACTATTAAGACTGATGTTCATTTCTGTAAGGCTCTTCTTAATGCCATCATTCCATATTTTCTGAGGTCTTCCACTCGCTCTATACCCGTTGTAACGTTTTAGTGTGGCTCGCTGTGGTGGATAGTACCAGGGCATTCTTGTTAGGTGTCCAAACCACTTCATTTGTTGTTCTTTGATGACCTGTAAGACTGGCTTTATTCCTAGCATTCGTCTGATTTCATGATTTTGTATTCTGTCTTTCCTTGAAACTCCTGCAGCTCTCCTAAGGCATTTCATCTCTGTTGTCACAATTTTATGTTCATTGGAGATTGTATGTGTTCGCGTTTGGCATTGATAGCATAGTGTTGGCCAAAAAATAGTTCTGATAAGATTCACTTTAGTTATCCGAGGTATCTGCTTGTGTGTCAACAGGGCAGATAGTTGACCCATTACTTGATTAGCTTTGGCACATCTGGAGCTAATTTCTCCGTCCAGTTTTCCGTCGGATGTAAAAATTGCTCCCAAATACTTAAATTCCTCTGTCTCAGGGTGTTGTTTTTTAATTGTATTTCTTAATTGTCTTTATGTCTTCCTATCATCATTGTCTCTGTCTTTGTAGCACCAAGCTAACAGAGATTTATGAGAGATGAGAATTTAACAGTCAGAAGATGCAGTGACATTAACCAATGATTAGTGATTACTATCGTGTTTCCACATTAAAAAATACCTAACTTGAAGTTAAGCCCTGGTATGATTTTTCATGATGCTCATAATATACCTTAGATTTAAATCCTAGTTCAGATTATTAGCCAGATGACAGATTTTGTTTGTCTGTCGAAACATATGACAAACTTAAAAGAAAAAAGTAAAGGACCCTTCTCCACACCTTTAGGCATTTAGGGCTAGACCTATATTTTATAGACCAATCGGCACAAGATGGGCGATGTTGTCAACATCACACTGGCATGACAAACTTATTGAATATTAAAATAATGAATGTACAAATATTTAAAAGAAAAAAAAAATTAATTACATTAACATTAATGATTTAATGTAGATTTTTTAAATAAATATTGATCTTTGTATATGAATGAATGTATATTTTTGTACGTGAATAAATGTAGATTGTTGTAGATAAAGAAATGAAACTTTCCCTTTAATAAGTTCTTAGGTGTCTTTTAGAATAACAATTAATATATGATGTTTTACGGTTTACAGGCTGTCATATCTGTGCCTTTTGGACCATCACATGCACGTCTGATTTTATTATCATCATCATCATGTGCCCTGCCAACTGGCGTAGGCGCTCATGCATCTCCACATATCACAATCCCTGGTTGACTGGAACAGCTCTTTTGATGATGTCCCTCCATGCCATCGTTTTAGACCATCCAGCATCATCTCTCTTGGTCTGCCTCTACCCCTTTTTCCAATGATCTTTCTAGTTGTCAAGATGCTCTCAAATGTCTCTCTTCTCATTATGTGGCCAAAGAACAGTGTTTGTCTCTTTCTTATTGTTGTATATAGAGATCTACTTTCATTAGCCTCTTTCAAGCAACCGTTGTTAGTTACTCTGGCCATTCAAGGTATTTGTAACATTCGTCTCAGAAACCACATCTTTGTTGCTTCCATCTGATTTCTGATTTCAGCAAACCCATAATTACAACATGCTTGAAAGGGAAGCAGTGGGTCTCTTCTTTCTCCCCAAAATGGGGTCCTGGATCAAACAAGGGGATCTTAGCATCAAATTCACAAGAGGCTTTTCTAAAGCTGGCCTTGATCTAAAGTTTGAATTATTAAAAAAAACACAAAACAATGAAGCACTTCCACAACTGGATGCAAAAGAATTAAGCCTGCTGAAGGCACTCACATACACACCTAGGGTAGTTTGTACAATAGTCTGTATAGATGACAAAACCCTGATTGTGTTTCACAAAACATTGGGCAACTTGAACACTGTCGGTGCCTGCTATTTCAAGGTCTGCCAAGAATGTACTGTGAAAATATATAGTTATTTCTGTGATTAATGTTTAAAAACAAATCATGAGTCATTTCACAAACACAAATAGGCCTATGCACAACAATACGAATAAGGTGACTGCAGCAAAGCTATTAAATTCTAAAATTGATTGGGAAAACTATTAAGTATATTTCAACGAATTACCTGTGAACAAAAATATTACTGAATATACTTTATTTTATTTTTCCCAATAATTTTAGACATAGACAATAACATCTGCAACACAGAAAATTTGGGAGTCGCTGTGGCATTGGCGGCTAGATGCCTGCCTGCAGATCGGAAAGTCGTATGTTTGAGTCCTAACGGAGCTGGACTTTTTTTTTCAAAAATGACTTCGACTTCCAGGTCGGACCCAGCCTTAAGTGTGTACCAGGTGCAGTTCTTGGGAGTAAAGGTGGCCGGCGTGATGCTGAGTACATCACCCCCCCCCCCTTAAGTGCCATTTAGTCTATACAAATGTTGGTCTAGCCCTATATTCCCATTACGCCTAAAGGCATGGACAAGGGACCTTTACTTGTACTTACTTAACAAAGAAACCTAGTGTATTTAAATTTAAAGGTTATTGAAAATGTTTTGGAATATCATGGAAAAGACTTGAAGAAAAAGTTGTTATTATACGAGATCTTAGCATTTTTTTTAAAACTGCTCATAAATAATATCATGTCTTGAAAACTAAAATATACCTACCACCCAACATAAATCAACAACTTAAAGTATATTTACCACTCAAAAAAAAAAAAAAAAAACAACAACAACTCACCAACCCAACAAAAACTTACAATTCAAAGTAAAAAGTATGCAGGCCACCTAAAAAAATCCAACAACTCAAAGTATATCTACCACCCAAAACATAACTTACAATTCAAAGTACACATACAGCTCAAATAATCCAACAACTCAAAGCATATCTACCATCTAAAATAATCCTAAACAATTCAAAGTATATTTACTACCCAACATAACTTTGCAATTCAAAGTATACACGCCACTCGACATAATCCAACAACTCAAAGTATAACTACAACACAACATAAAACCAATAACTTAAAGTACACCTACCACTCATAGTAATACACAGCCCATGAAGCATACCTGCAACCTAAATTATCCCTACAATCCAAACTATACTTACAACATAAAACCAATAACTCAAAGTACACCTACCACTCATAGTAATACACAGCCCATGAAGCATACCTGCAACCTAAAATATCCATACAATCCAAACTATACTTACAACATAAAACCAATAACTCAAAGTACACCTACCACTCATAGTAATACACAGCCCATGAAGCATACCTGCAACCTAAAATATCCATACAATCCAAACTATACTTACTATTCAAAGTACTCCTACTATCAAAACTATATCTGCACAAACATTATGTGTCATCTAACTACAGCTACCACTCAAAATATACCTACGCCCAGACTACATCAACAATCAAAATTACACTTATCATCCTCAGTAAAAATACTACTGATACTTTACTTGTCAATGTAAATAGGCCTACTATCTAAACTACAGCAAACACTGCAATCACCGCCTCTGAACCTGCCAGTCAAACTAGCATACATGCAACCTTCTTTTTCTTCTGCGTTCCTATTTTTCATACCACAACACAGAAACTATAAGCATGATCAAACTATACAGCTGGACCTGATCAAACGATACCTCTTTCTATAAATATACTTTTCACACAAACTATACACAGCGTCTAAACTATGTATACTGTTTTAACAATATTGAATAACTACAACTCCTACAAACAATCCTATATTGCTGAAGATGCACACCAAGTCTGCCACCAGAAATGTACTCACCAGCCAAACTTATAAATTTCTCGAATGTTACTGAAGAGGCACTTAAGGTCTGCTTTTGCATCATTCGAAGTCAACAAGTTTTCCATTGGCTCCATGTAACCCTGTAGGAGAGAACAAAACAAACAAAATTGTAAAGACAGGCGATATAACCAATTCCTCATGGGAACAATCAGTAGCAGTACCCTCGAGTGGCTGCTGCGTTGGAGGACTGAGCATGTATGGGGATGCCCAATGTGCAAAGACGTCTTCTGTGATAACATGACACAGGGCCTAATATAAACTTGTAAATAATCTATGAAGTGACCAGTTTGCTGTAAAGTTGCAACTGCGAGCACCTGGTTGTGGTTTGCATATGGGTTGTTTTATATGTGTCTTTCGGTCTCACAAATCTGATTTCGGCAAACTCCCAATTAGTCACCCTTTACAACATGCTCTAAGGGAAGGGGGTATGTTCTTTACTAAACTCCCCCTTCCCCAACCCCTTAACACAGTGAAGTTCCAAAACCCAAAACGGGGAGATTATTAATTTAAAGACAAATCTTCCCAGACAAGATTTGAAACAAACACAGACTGTTAATATTTTTGAATATGTTAGAAGATATCTTTGCGACAAACCTGATTTATTAGTTTCACGATTAGAAAGTTAACTGTTATTCGCCGAGGATATCCTCCGAATCACGGTTGGTAAAGATGGCGGCCGCAAAATATCCTTTCGAGCCACAGTCACGTGACTTAATTTGCAGTTCTCCAGCAGTTTTCCGGCGACTACCGCCACCGCCGACGTGTCCCCCACGCCGCTCACGCGGCGTTAAATGGGGCTATACTAGATGGCTAGGACTCACGAGCAAAGCTTCAGGAGATGCGGAAGCTGCTGCTCGTGGGTTCTAGCCATCATCTAGTTTAGCCCCATTCTACGCGGCGTGTGGGACACGTGGCGGTGGCGGTAGTCGCCGGAGAACCGCAAATTAAGTTGCCGGAAGTGCGCAATTGACACGTGACTGTGGCTCGAAAGGATATTTTGCGGCCGCCATCTTTACCGACCGTTTTTCGGAGGATAGCCTTCACCGACATATGTAACTCTCCCATACCTCAAGTCTTAGTCCGAAGAAGCTCAGCACAGTGAACAGGTTCTGTAGCACCGGCGAAGATCCTGAAATAGTTTGGGTAGATTTTTAAATCCTAATTTTTGCCCGGGCAGCACCGTTAGGCTATTATTTTCGATTTCCACCTGCCAAGGGATTTTTTTTACGTGCGCAACAATGCACATGGGCGTGCAGTTACCTCCATATTCGTCCCAGGGTATGCAGGCGTTGTTGGTAATGAAAGAGCTGACAGACTGGCAGGTGGTGCATCAATTGAAGATGGCCGGCCCATGGATCACGCAGACATTGTAATTGTCCTTAGAGAGATGGGACGTTCTGAGAATTTTGGAAGGAAAATGACCACATCACTGCTAAGCATACGCGAACTGGGAGTAAAGATCGGCACATCCAAGCATGAGAAGCACACCGGACGAACACGAAGTCTTGTTAACCAGCACAGGACTGGCACTATTAACTACACGACATTGATGAATATGTTGAGAGGGGAATCTGAGCGCCTATGGATGTGTCCGGAGTGCTGTGAAGATAATCTTACTCATAACTCAAGGGGAAGAAGAAATGTAAAATTCAATCATGAGGTTATTGCCCTTGCCTACAATCTTATCTAGGCGTCATACAAGATAAGAAGATTATTTCTCTGAACTTTAGTTAACAGCGGCTAGAATTAACGGTCTATGGCCAGAGGTAGCTTCCGCCAAATTTTAGAAGTAGATTTTAACAGGTATGTTCATAAAACGGAATTTACTTTTGCTCTTTTTTTTTTGCATTCACACTCTGTTTCTGATCGAGAGTACTGAGTGTTTGTATTACACTCATAGCGAATCGTTAGACAGAATCACTCATGCACGGCTCTCTCCCTCCCCCTTCCTCTCTCTGTGTAGTGTGTTTGACAGACAGACAGACAGACAGACAGACATACTAAATAAATACCAGGTATTAAGGATCATCATCATGTGCCATGCAGCATCAAAGATTGACATCTCAGGAATACACACACAAATGACACTCGCGCACACTCACACAAATGACACTCCCGCACACTCACACATAAACATACACACATACTCACACACTTATACTCACACACTCACGCGCACTTATACTCAAACACAATCACGCGTGCGCACACACACACACGATACTCAACAGTGAGATGTCAACTGCCGTGAGAAAATGAATATTAAAGTGCTGTACAAAACACTCTTTGTTATATACCTCTGAGACACGAGCACTAAGAAGACCAGCAAAATTTTTTTTTACTCGCTACAGAGATGAGGTGCTTGAAAAGAATGCAAAGAATATCGTAGAGCAGCGACCCCTTTTGTGTCGAAGGACCTTTTCACAGACCATCGGAAAGCCCATATTCATTGAGCTTATTAAGTAGTAACGAAAATTATTTTATGTTTGGGGGTCGCCACAACATGAGGAAGTGTGTGAAAGGGTCGCCACAACACGAGGAACTGTGTGAAAGGGTCGCCACAACAAGAGGAACTGTGTGAAAGGGTCGCCACAACATGAGGAACTGTGTAAAAGGGTCGCCACAACACGAGGAACTGTGTGATAGGGTCGTCACAACATGAGAAACTGTGTGAAAGGGTCGCCACAACACGAGGAACTGTGTGAAAGGGTCCGCACAACATGAGGAACTGAGTGAAAGGGTCGCCACAACATGAGGAACTGTGTGAAAGGGTCGCCACAACACGAGAAACTGCGTGAAAGGGTCGCCACAACACGAGGAACTGTGTGAAAGGGTCGCCACAACACGAGGAACTGTGTGAAAGGGTCGCCACAACACGAGGAACTGTGTGAAAGGGTCGTGGCATTAATAATGTTGAGATCCACTGTAATAGAAAAACAAGGAGGACAGTGCTCATGGAGACAGATAAAAGTTGTAAACTGATGACAAAAACCAGATGTAGAGAGTCTGTGTTTGTTGGACATGTCTTGAGAAGGAATAGAATCGAGAACAACTGGCAAGACTGATGGGCAAAGCAAGAGGAAGACAACTGAATAAAATTAAAAAAAACAAAAAAAACAACCTTGATAGCTCAGGCACACGGATATAGTGCGACAAGAACACTGACGTTTCCCTGATTCTGGTGATCGTGTATGATGGCAAAATATGAGTTACGCTTCAATCCTTCCTTTCTTAGCGAAAAAAAAATCGTCACGTTCAACTAGCATCCCTTAAAAGGGGGAGCTTTGGTTATAATCGTGGATTTGGTTATGTGCGCCATATAAAACGGCTTAACATTGCTCGCCACCAAGTAGCCATGAAAAGGACTCCTGTACTGTTGATGCGATCAAAAGGGACAGACCCAAATACTGTTCCGATCGACGACGAAGTCGTCTACTGCCAGCCTGTAGGCGACCCGGTCGCTGATGAGCCTTCGATTACAAGACATATTTATACAGCTAATGCAGTTTCTGAATTTGCATCTGTTGGACTCGCAACAGATTTGAGACTCTTTGATTCCGGTTAATATGGCGGATAGGAAGGTTTAATTTCCCTTTTTAAAGTCCTGGCAAAATTTTGCTTGTAACCATAGTTAACCATGCATTTTCCACCATATGTAGACTGAAATGGTACAGATCCGTCGCTCAGCCGATGAGCCGAACGCATAGCGCGATACTGTAAACTGTAGATTTTTTTTTTTTTTTGCCACGCTTCTCGACTGTAACCAACGTGGTCTGTGCTGTGAACCTCAGATTTAAAAAAAATGGCGAGTGGCTTGTTGCCGGCGAACTTGTGATGCCATATGCCATTAATTACCTATGCAACTACTTATTTTTGTAAGTGCTGCCTCCACTGACAATGAACTGCACTAGTGTCGGACTGCTTTCGTGGGCACTGCTGACAACTGCCTTATACATTTAATACTCGTGTATGCTACTGGCTTTGCTGGGACTGCAGTCTGTGTATTTCGTTTTCTCCACAACGGACATTGACGGACGGACATTTGTGTGAGGTTTTCGATGTCCCAGGAACCGAGTATCGATGAAATGGTCCTTTGCTATAAAGGTGGAACAGCGATAACCACTACCAATACTCTTTTAAATCACTGAGTTTCACTCCTTGAGGCTGAAATTAGGAAAGAGAAAACTGAGTTTTTTTTTTTTTTTAAGTACACGTTTCTAAGCTAATATGCGTGCTGTACTCCGTTCTCCGTTTTCTTTATTCTCCATTTTCACTTACACACTCCATGACGAGGGCGTGAAACAGCTCGGTTCAACACATACACTATATATATTATATAATTATATAAAACACCTGCGCACATTTAAAAGCTGTGCCAGACCTGATTTATTCTGTGAGCTCATGAATAATTTCACTCCCGTCTCCGAAAACTGGGGTGCATTTCAACGGAATCCACGACGAAATGCATTTGCCTTTCTTCCTGAGGGATTATGATTGTTTCCCCTGGATGTTCGTTTTCCACGTCCTCTGTGTTATTTTAATTATTGAGTTTTATTTACATTATGCTGTTTCTTACGTAGTAACGTTTAATACATCGTAAATGTTGGAATTCTTCTTCTTCTTCTTCTTCTTCTTCTTCTTCTTCTTCTTCTTCTTCTTCTTCTTCTTCTTCTTCTTCTTCTTCTTCTTCTTCTTCTTCTTCTCCTCCTCCTCCTCCTCCCCCTTCTTCTCCTTCTCCTTCTTCTTCTTCTTCCTTTCCCTCCTCGGTGTCTTTTTGAATCTACGTTTGCTCTTAAAAGAACGGCTGGCACGTTGTGCTTTCCGCAAGGCTGTGATATCTGCGCCTGTCGGCGCAAAATATCCGATTTCAGTAAACCCTAAATTACTCGCCTTTTACGACATGCTTGTTGGGGTTAGCAGGTCTTTTTCTAGTGGGTGGGTCTCAACCCTCTCTAAAAATCATCACGGGGTGCGGTAGGTGTAGGGGTCCCGAAACAAATCGGGGGCTAAAAGTGCCTGCGCTCCCAGATTTCACATTTGGACAGCCGGTTATACCAGCCTGACGTGACCATAACTGGGC